GAGTTTGGCATGCCTAAAACACTTTGTGAATTAATTGCTTGAATTAATTGCTAAAACATAAGAATTTCTGTATTTTATATTTCAGACCTTGCTTCTTGTGATATGTTTTTCTTCGTGTTATAATTTCAAAATGTAAATGTGGGATGAATAAAAGTTAAAGTAAACATATCAAGCTTTTCATGAAGGTATTATAGATAGAAATCTGAGTTTGTATGGACCTCTAATCAGAGCTACAAAATTAGGCTGAAATCCTATTCATAGCAGGATTCTCTACTTTCACACTATAGATTTAAATGGGCATATCTTGAGCCACATTTATCAAAATCATGTAAAATTATTTTGAAGGCAAAAATCTAAATGCAATCTGAAAGACAAAATTGGTCTCCTAATCTGATGAGCAAACTAACGATATTGAGTATCCCACTACAGCTGAAAGTATGACATAGAAATAATGGGCCTTATGATCTAAGAAAGGTGTAAATTAAGCCTTTAACATTCCATGAATGAAAAAAATACAGCTTGGAATGGCTGAATATTGTAAGAAACCAAGTCAGAAACAAGATCTAAGTTACAACAGAGTCTAAATAACAGCAAAGTTATAACAAAAATAGAGTTGGCAATTGTATTGACCATTTCTAGACATCTATCGTGTAATCAACTCCTATAAAGCATGTCATAAATCAATTCCCAAAACACCACCCTTGATCTTAGAAGAACCATGACTGATCGTGAATAATTTTTTTCACATAAAACCCTCATTCCTCTTGTTCAAACTCGCCACCTCCTCATTCCCTGTCTTCTCTTTTTTCTCCTTTTCTTTCTTCTTATTCTCCACAAATCTAAATAAAAACAACTTATTTTTTTCCATTATCTTCAACAATCACCTCTTCCCTTATAGTTGTTAGTATTATGCATTTCCTTTTTTATATTAAGGGTTACGCATTATGTTTTTCTTTATACATGACATTCCTATCGTATTGTCTTAGTCTACCTAATAGTATATGACATGCGTTCATAGCTATTACGTTAAACCAAACATTATCAAAATATCTCTTGTATATGAAAAATAAAATGATAAAACATTTGCTCACAATCAACTTGTCATCTTTATTCAGCCAATTTAGTTTATAAAGGATATAATATTTTTATGTATTAAGATGCAAATTCTCTACCACTTTAGCTAACACTGCATTCTTACAATTACCAATACCAATGATTAAAAGCATATCTTATCGTTAATAATACAAGTTGTTTGGAAGATGTTAGAACATAAAAATTTTGTTATATATCACCCTTGGGTGACATCAAGATCTTTTGAATAACTAGCGTGGTATTGCCATCTCTATTAAACATCTCTCTATTATTATCAAAACAATCATAAAGAGGATCAACCGCACCATTCACATGCTTTTTTTTAATAGATTCTTTCCTGGACAACTCTATCTTTTGCTATATTTACTAGACCGATGTCTTAATTCTCCACAACTGCAACAACAAATCTTAAAAACTAAATCAAAACTCTGACTAATTATCTATTGATTTTGCTGAGCATACTTGTTTTAGGGAGAGGTTGGTCTCAAATTATTATTAGACCCTTCTCTATTGTACTAATCTATTCAAAAAAAATTGTTTATAACTCTAGCAACTTGTAAGGCCTTTTGACATGTCTTTAAAACTATCCATAAAGGTTGTAGGCACAACACATCCTAGATAGACTATTGTAACCCACATAGATATCTTGCCACTAGCTACTCTTTCATTTTTATCAAGTCATTCTCAACCATTAATTGATAAAATCCATTAATATAATTGTTAACATATTTACCTTTGTGTTTCAGCATGTGGAGCCTTTGGTACAAGGTCTAAGTATAGCCAAATGGAAGGAAGTGCTTTCTTAAATTCTTTTTCATCATTTTCCAATCATCAATTATCAGCTTCCGTTATCTATCTCGTGTTGTCTTCAATTGTCCCTAATGGGTAGAAGCTCAACCCTTTAATATAATTGCAATCAACTTTACTTGTACATGTTAAGGAACCTTTTTGTACCAAAAAATTCATTCCATGTCATTCTTCCAATTTATGAACTCTTCTATTTATAAAGTTCATGTGAATTCATGTATTTTAATGCAAAATTCAAAATCTTTAGATCTGATGTTTTCCTAATCAAGAGGTTGCCTCCTCTAATCATGCTTATGGTTTTTCAATATCGGTTAGAGATCTATGATCACTCTTCTAGCTTTGTTCCCTTTTCCTTTTCTTTTCTAACCTGTGAGTCAAATATGTGATTTGCCTCTGCTTATCCTCCATGACGAGTTCCTAGACATTTCTCTTATGAAAAGGAGTCTTCTTATTCCCCTTTGACCACGCCCTACTTTGCAACCTCTTCTTACCATGATTGTTAGTAACACATATCAAGCAAACAATTATCCACGAAACTGCAACACATATATAGCAATATAAACATGGAATCATTGGGCTCTAATACCAATTGATGTAGGTGAAAGCACAATAACGCAACAACAAATATAAAAAGACAAAAAATGTATGAAATAAGGGTGAAAACATAGAGAACTCTAAAACTTTATTTTATTTATAAAATATCAATATAAAAAAGTCTACCTCTTAAAGAGATTAGCACTGCCTTTTATAGGCTAAAAAAGTTGATATAGACTAGGAAACAAAATTAGAATCGTAACACATAAAGGGAATTAACACTAAATTTGAAAATAAACAATAATTTCAAAAATATTTAGGGAAAATAACTAAATTATGCAAAATAGTAGCATTCAAGCCGAATTCCTAATTCCATGAGGTCTAATGGTTTGATAAGGGATATATTTGCTTTTCATGGGAAAATTGCCTATAAAACCACTTAGATAAATTTAAGTTTGATCCAATTATTGGATCTTTTATTATCACCATTTAAAATCGTTATCTCGATCTGACATGATTATGTCTCCTCTTAGATCCAGACTTGTCCCACCAATTCATGAAAGTATCTACTAGGCTATTTATATAATTTGTTTGTGACAAATCCCTATATAACTTCTTAAAACCTCAAATCTCTACAAACCTAACTACATCAAGTTTTTAGCTATCATAAAACTAGATGATAATTTTTATTTTTTTTTAACATATAGTTCGCCATGGTATCCCATGTGACAAAATCAATACAATTAAAAAATTATTAAAACAAATATAAAATTTTAAAAATGTGAAACTTGCAAACTTTATCAATGAAACATTCTTGGTTTATCTCTTTCTAAGTACTATTCATAACATCATTTAGAAATTTGTTTGCATCAACCTTGTTAATATAAACTATCATTGCAATTAACTATATTTATATGACTCCAAATTTTGCAGGAAATTGAATTGCAGGTAACATTGACCTGCTAATAAGTTAAGTAATTGATGTTCTCAATGCTATGCTGTATCACGAGGTAACATGTTTGACAACAGAGTAACATGCTGGATAACAAAGCGACATGCAGGAAACAATGCATAGAGTGGGGAAAGGGCGTAGAGATCAGTAGAATGAAGGCTTAGCCCACATAAAAAGTTTTGTTTTTATCCTTCTAGCCTTTCTATCACTGCCGGTGAGAATCTTGACAGTTTCAATCCATATACTGCCGGTGATTATATCTTCTCAATTCTCAATCACTACTGTAAGTAGGAAGTTACTTTGCCCCTTGGAACATAATGTGAATAGCTATATTCCGTGCCGCCTATGGTTCCATTTTTCCGAAGACCTTGGAAAAATTATAGCATAATTCCCTGATTTGTCTCATATTTATGTGATGTGTTTCATTCTGTGTCTCTTCTGCTACTGTTTTCCTCACTAACTACTATTCCAACATTATACACTCACCGGTATGAGGAAGAGATACTATAAGCCTACTACATGTGCTCCCCAAAAATTTTCAGATTTAACAAAATTAGTCCTTATGAATATTCAATCCATCAACTAAAACTTGCTAGAAACCCTTGAAAGTGTTCATTAATTTGAGAATTTTCGACAAGCTTTTTCACAAAATTTAATGTAGTAGTAATGATTAGCCGAGCTTCATAAGGTCAAGGTAATTTACCATTTAGAGCTTACAGGATAACAAGGGAAAGGAGAAAACGAAAAGAGAAATTGAGGCATGCCAGAGCAAAAAGAAATTGAAGCATATCAGTACCTGCCGAAATCATTTTCAGCATAATTCCAGTTGCTGGTAGTTTGTGGTTCAAAATCATGATTTTTTTGTTCTCATCTCAAAGTTTCTGGGAAAGATGCCAACATAATCTGTTCAGAGAGACAATTTTATGAATCTATAATACCCAGCAGTGTTGAAAATGTCCACAAAGAAAGATAAAATCTTTAAAAGGTAACCATAACCATTGCTGTACAAAAATAAAATCCAAAATAGCTTAAGTTTACTTGTAATCCATTAGACTTGCCGACCATCCAATCAAAACAAATCTAGCCATTGTACACAAGTGAAAGCCTTTGATTGGACATAGCTCAGCCTGAGAGTTCTATATAATATTTTATCATTGACACATGTCACTCAATACTTCCACTCGAAGATTCTCTCAACTTGCCATTCCCTTCATGGGGTGCCATGAAAAGCATTGCTTTTGGAGTCCGAATAGTTCCTGTACAGTTTATATACATACAAAATCTTACTTGCACAGTATAATCTTCTGAATTTATATATCGCAAAATGGAGGTACCTGATCTCCATGCAGCCAATGAGCACGACTATATTAGGCTGTTATTACAAAATTTATCCAGAGGTTCTGTTTGGCAAATAATTAATTGTATATCGATGAAAACAAAGCTTGCCTTAACCTAACAGAGGAAGGAATAACTCACGCAAGAAAGGCACGTTATCGTGAAAGAAACTATTTGCATAGATACTTGCACAGTATTGAGATACTCAATTTCTCAAAAGGAATAGACAAAGAATGTTGACATAATGTATTATTAAATCCTGTGATGCATCATAGAATGAATTACTAGTCGCAAAAATAGTTACAAAGTAAATTACCAAACAGAAAATAACATATCCGACGACTTCAGAAACCAACAATCATATAGCAACAATTGTTGTTGAGATGATGTCTCCAAGATAATCCTTTACCATTATAAAAAAAAGAAAAGAGGAGAGCTTCGAAGTATCCTCTGCTATCTGGCAATGGAGAGAATGAACATGTCCAGTCCTGAGCTCCCTCCAGGATTCAGGTTTCATCCAACAGACCAGGAGCTTATCATCCATTATCTGAAGAAGAAGGTCTCATCTTCTTCATATCCGGAAGTTTCTATAATAGCAGACGTGGATATCTACAAGTTCAATCCGTGGGACCTTCCAGGTGCTTAATTCATTCTTCTCAATTAATTTCTTACACAACAAAATATATGCTTTTCTGTCACCAAGCAGTACATATACGCTCTTAACTCGTAATAAAAGATAGGGATTTTCATGTTTGTCTTTTTTTCAAAACAAAAAAAGGAAATGTTTCTTGCTTTTTTTTTGAGATATCTTGAAGCATTATTCTCTTCACTCATTGTTGTTCTGTTTTCCTGTCAGGAAAAGCATTGTTTGGGGAGAATGAGTGGTTTTTCTTCAGTCCTAGAGATAGGAAATATCCAAATGGTGTCCGTCCAAACAGAGCAGCAGGATCAGGTTACTGGAAAGCAACAGGAACCGATAAACCAATCCTCACCTCCAACGGATCACAGTGCCTTGGCGTGAAGAAAGCTCTAGTATTTTACAAGGGCCGGCCTCCAAAAGGCACGAAAACAAGTTGGTTGATGCTTGAGTACAGGCTTCTTGATGATACCCATCATCTGCATAGGCTCAGGGGGTCGATGCGAGTAAGTCTTGTAAGCTGTTCTTTAAGATAATACCTGTGAACAAAAAACAAGGAGTATTGTTAGTTGTGAGAGTATGGAGTCGAAACAGTATCATACATAGGTACATGGAACTGTATAATATAACCGCTTCTTCGTATGATGAAACTTCTAAATTAAAGACAATAATAAATAGATATCAAAGAAGTGGAAATTATTTTTCCTACGCTAACATTATGGCAACAAGATGACTTCTCATAATCAATGTGTAGAAGCGCATGTGTACTAATCATTTTTACCTTCTGTAGTTCAGTTCATTGAAAAATGAATACAATAATATACAACAGCCTCTATTTTCATCTTTTATTTTAAAATTATTCGTTTTTACCACAAAACTCTTGCAGACTGACTCTTAGTGTCTTCTTCTCTAGTTGGATGATTGGGTTTTATGCCGAGTTCGCCAGAAAAGTAACACGCAACAAAATGGAGAGAGTCTTTGCAGCAGTTTTGGCAGCTTCTCTCCATTTATTAGCTTCGGGTGCTTACAAGGTCAAGAAATGTTCGAGAAGAGCAATACCCTTAAAGACTATTATTATGATCTTCAGCCCTGTCTTATGGCTCCTCCAGAAAGTAAAGAGGCAGATGAGCAAGAACTAGTTGAGTTCCAAGAAGTATCTCCAGGATACCCGATCTCAGGCGTGGCTTCAAATTCTCAACCAACAATGGTCTCCACCGTCAAAGAGAGACTTGAATATATCAAGAAGATACTCTCCATCGGAGCTTTTGAAGAACTAGTGCCAGCAACACCAAAGAAGAGGCTGCATGTATCCTCTTCGAATAAAGCAGAAAATGAGTGCCTTTTCGAAGAGACACCTTCACCACCGAAAAAGAGGCTGCATATATCCTCTTCAAATAATGCAAAAAGTGAAAGCATTTTTGAAGTTTCTTCTCCTACTGTTTCAGCCTCATCTCAGCAGAGCTTTCAGAGCTCTTGAGATATATTTATCATCTAAAGCTCGTGGTCATGGTGATCAATATCTATGGATTATCTATCTATCTAGATCTATACATGAAAGGTGAAACCACTTGGATAATAAAAACTAGTATTGTTTGGGATTAGAATGCTATGTAGACAATTTATTAGCATGGTCTAATGCATGCTAAGTGGATCGTGCGTGCTTTCTCCCTTTATTTTTCATTGTCAAGGATATTTTGACATGACAATTTTACTTATTGAAATTATGAAGAAAAGTCTCGAGACATTTTTCTCATTCAACATATAAATGGAACATATATAATGTCAGTACTAATTGCCACTCCCCTTGATATCTTCTTCTTAAACGATCAACATGTTCTTCAACACAAGAAATCTCCACGCTCCGTTGAGGATGAGTTGCACACCAACCTGTTTGCATCCTCAAAGAAAAAAAGACGATAATACTCGGATCATAATTATATTTAAATTCTGATATATACTCTAACCCAGCTAAATTAAAGATTTCAAGGTTTTACACACTACATTGTCATTACGAGGGAATTGAGATTGTGATAATTAATGGTAGGAAACTACTCATGAACTGTGCTAAACAAGATACAAGTGTGGTGTTACAGTGTTAAATGTGCACGGGGTGCACACCTAAGGCATGCTGTCCAATACCAGGCCTAAGGGTGCTGGCAGCCATGCCAACGATGAGATAAATTAGCAGTGTAGATTTATGCGGCTATAAGTTTGTCAAAAGGAACATCGGCAGCACAGATTGCTGGGCTTGACGATGGAATGTCCAAGCCAGAATGGAAGACTCGTCAGTGGCATAGGCTGGCGAGAACTGGGGCTGTCGAGAAATGCGGGGCAGCGCAGGATGTTGACAAACATAGGCTTGGCGATGGAATGTTCAAGCCAGACAAGGAAAACGCGTCAGGGGCATAAGCTGGCGAGAACTGGGGCTGTCGAGGAATGCGGCAGCACATATTGGTGAGGTCTATGGGCTTGGCGATGGAATGTCCAAGCTAGACAGGAAAACTCGTCTGGGATATGGGCGGACGAGAATTGGGGCTGTTAAGGAATTCAGCAGCGCAGACACTGGGAGCCTGCGCGCAGATGGGAATTCGGCAGCGCAAGATTTGGCTAGCTTGCACGCAGATGCGAATGCGGCAGTGCAGACATTGGGGCTTGCACGCAGTTGCGAATTCGGCAGCGAAGGAATTGGGGCCTGCACGCAGATGCGAATTCGGCAGCGCAGGAATTGGGGCCTGCACGCAGAAGCGAATTTGGCAATGCAAGATTGGGGCCTGCACGCAGAAGCGAATTGGGCAGTGCAAGATTGGGCAGCCTGCACAAAGATGTGCATTCGGCAGCGCAGACATGGGGGTCTGCACGCAGATGTGGATTTGGCATCGCAGGATTTGGCGACCTATTACCTAGGGTGCGCACTCAGCAGTGCACAAGAGCTTGCGCAAGTCAGGGGCTTGACTTGGCAAGATTTAAAACTTGGACGAAGGACTGTCCAAGGCATGTGTGTGATTTAGCAGCAGATGAAGCTAGAGCTGGCAAATGGAGCTGCTAGGCAAGCATGCAGAAAGTGGGAGCATAACTGGGGTGTTTCCAAGTTGCTGAAATCATGAAGCACATGGGGGAGGAAGTTCTCCACTATATCCTAGAAATAGGGATATGGGTGAGCCACAAATGATCATGGAGATTATGGGGGAGTAAGTGCCTATTATGTCCTGAAATATGGGGATCATAAGGGTGCCCTGCAGCTCACATACTTTGCTATAAATGGTGATGGTAATTCTTTGTTGTATAGGGAGAATACATAGAGAATAGAATGCATAGAGAGGAAATAACGTATGTAAACTTGTTTGTGTAGCATGCGAATTCTGTGCATAGCACACGTTGTGTAATCCTTTGTTGATGAGATAAATAAAGGTTGAGAGGTATTCTTGTATTCTCAGTGTGCTTGGTTAAGAGCAATTCTATTTGTGTATTCCGCTTGTCTTTAACATGGGAAAGTGGGGAAACCTCTCGGGTGAGGGAAACACTTAATTAATAGACAAACACGAGTGGATAAATGAGGGAAAACTGAGTAACAAGGGATTAGCCACGGGTTTATTCATGCAACGATACATTAATGAAGGTTTTACACACAGGCGCGCCATATTGGGATTGAAATAGTGTAATTAAGTGCGGACTTTATGCCGGATATTGGGATTGAAATAGTGTAATTAAGTGCGGACTTTATGCCGGCTTCCCCGTACTTAACTTTGGTTGATTGATGGTTGAAGTCTCATGTTTTATTTAATTGTTTTGTATAGGTTTAAAATTAGATTATAAATTTACCTGCCACCTCTAGCCAGTTAAGTATATTCACGAAGTACTTGTATATGATTGGTGAGCTTGTTAATTAATTCAAGTTATTATGTTGTCAGAACAGCATTAACGTAGAAAGACTCTACAATTTAAGGGATAAATATGATTTTGGAGGGCTTTTAAACTTCAACACAAAGTTAATAATTACTTTTTAAGTCCTAATTAATAAATAATGAAATAATAAGTGATTAAGTAATTTTGGAATTAGTAACAGAATATATTAAAGCGCTCTGCATGTATGTCTAAAAAATAACAAGTTATTCATATAGTTTTTGTTGGGTAAACTAATTAGTCTCTTTACTAAAAATATAAGCTCTAAAAAATTGATTTTTATTAGTTGCCCATAAAAATTTAGATCTAAAATTCGCAAACTTTTTTGAAAGAGAAAAAAAAAAAGATGAAATAACCTCAACCAAGTTATGACATGTATTTAGTCAATACAAATAAATCAAGAGAGAAAAAGAAAAAAAGAAAACGAGAGAGGCATACTTGAAAAAAGATGCAAAAAAAATAACAAGAAAATAACAAGAAAATAGAAATTATTGAGATATAAACCCCCCAAGTTATGGTATTTCTCTAGTCATGTTATTTTCTACTTTCATTTCTTTTTTGTTTATTTATTTTGCAAAATATAAGCTATTATATTAATATTTTAATATAAAAAGGATTTTAAAAAAAATTAAAGGAACAATTGCCCTCTCTTACCCCAAGATGGCTTCACCCTTGAAAAACACTATTTCTTATATAAATAATATTATGACTTCTTGACTATATATATATATAAAGCAAAACCATAAATTTTAACATACTCAAATTTGATGATGGAATGGGAAAAAAAATTAGTTTGAGATTTTACTTTCAAAAGGTTTGTTGAGAATAATTTATCATTCATCCTCAATTAATTTTTAAAACATATTAATATTTTATATTAAAATACTCATGATGAATTATAAAATGTAATATAATTTTAACCTAAAATATAAGTAAACCTCATATATAATTTGGTTTTAAAAGAAATTTTATATATTTTACAAACCAATTCCAATAATATTAGCATCATATCTTAAAATATATGTTTTTTTTTTCAACATATATATATATATATATATAGTAAGAAACATGTACTTCTCCAACATTGAGTAAAGAAGAAGTAATTGCTAGAACATCTTTTTTCAATCATACAAATCCACATAAAATACAAATATAAATAGAAAAACTTGCAATGAGTAAAGAAAACCCAAATAATTAAAAGAAAATCCAAGAGGTGTAGTTGATTTATTGTTCCTGTCCTTTTAAAGTATTTTTATTTGGATTGTTAAATATATTTTTTTAATTTAATCTTTTTGTATCATGTTCATTAGAAATTGAGTTTAGTAATTTGTTTTAATTTTATTTTTTTAAACTAATAGAGACAAGAAAAAAAAATCAACAACTATTTTAATATTAGGTTCATTGTTCTATTTTGCAAAATAAAATTTAATGGTGAGCAACAAAGCATTTTTTTTCTTACACCATTTATTATGTGCTTTTTGTTTGTTTTAGCCTTTAGAATTTTATTATTTTTGTTGTAATGACCCAATGTTTGACCCATTTGCTTTTTAATTTAATGTTAAAGGGGTTAAAGCCTAAAATTAAAAAAATCAGGGGTTTGAATGTAAAATTTCAAAACTTCAAGGACCAAATCAAAAATAGCGATTTGAATTGGAAAGTGGAGTTGTTTCCTAAACAACTACTCACTACCTTCTTCCTTTGTTTCGAGAGTTAAAGGCAATGTTTATGTTTCATCATTAAAGACATTAAAAGGTTCAATTATAGGGCATGTCTCATGGCTATTATTATGTCGACCGTTACCACAACAGGGCTTTCTTTGGCTTTATAAAAGTCGAAGAAATGCAAGAACGAGTGGACGTGAAAAAAAATATATACAGAAAAGGAGAGAAAAGCAGAGGAGCTATACAAAAACGAGAATAAGCCCCACCATTGTCTTCGTCCCTTCATCTCAGAACCAGAGGTGACAGAACACAAACAAGATAGGGTCAAAAAACAAAGCCATGAAAAGCAAACGAGCCTAATAGAGAGTCTAAAAAGAAAAGGAAAACTAAAATAGAGGAGGGGAAGCAATGTTGGTGGAACAACCCTTCCACACCGTCATCTTTGTTTGCAAGCAATAGATTCCAGGAACCAGGGTGATTTAATTTTCTTTAAGAACAAAGGCAAAGAGAAGATGAAGAAGAGAGACTAGAGAATACAAACAAAGAAAACAAAGCCGAAGAAAAGAACAATAAAAAAGAAAACAAATGAAAAGAGGAACAGAGAAAGCATCATCCAATACACCATTATCTTCATCTCCATCCCTAACTAAATAGGTTAGCTTTTACCGTCCAATAATTCACACAAGTATGTACAATGACCAGCCAGGTTATTAGTTTAAACTAGTGACTAGGATAGGTCCAACCCAGCCATACAAGTTAGGTTAAACCCAACCTAAAACAAAAAAAAAAGAAAGGAGCAGGGCAGGTCGAGCCTAGACCTCTAGCCCGACTAGCCCAATCCTTTTATTTTAATCCTTTTTATTTTTTTATTTAGTCAAACAAGTTTTTTTAATATAATTTTTTTTTAAAATATTCA